CACTAGTACGGCTTGTATGGGCGCCACAATCACGCATGTCATTGAAATTGCAAACTATAATCAAAAGTAAACATGTAGCAAATACGTTATTCCCAAAATATTTCTTATATTCACCATGTTTGGTATTAACTAACCTCATCAAACCGGTTAACATCGTTGGACATAATATTGATTATTTGGCCGACAGTGGTCTTTGCTAGCGATGATTGGCTCAGTTTTAAACACTTTCATTTTAAAATATGGTAAATAATTAATTAGTTGTATTTGCAATAATGTTTTTATTATGGAAGTTACTATAAATATATTAATGTAATACAGTGTTAGTAATACTGTACTATATTTTCATTGACAAGTTGCTTGTTTTTGTACAACATATTGCACTTAATATGACATATAAATTAATCTAATATGCTTATTAATTCACAATACATGTATTTTTCATAACGATCACATTTGTTTGTGACAAAGATCATTACCAAACAACACATAAATTTATAAAAAATAATTAAAATGACCTATGTACTTTAAACGATTGATTATTAAATAAGCGCTCATACCTTTTGGTACATGAGAGTAGTGCACGCGTTACGCAATCTCATGCCCACCTGTAGGTTACGCATTAGGCACGGGTGGTGTAGTGTGATGTACAGGGCTGAACAAACTACAATACCACCCGCAGCCATACAGGCATGTTGATAACTCATGTGGTTGGCTCCTCTGAAATAGTCAAGCACAAAGCCCAGAAGTAGGGGCTGACCAATTCGCACTATACATTCCTGTATGGTAGAATTTAAAAAATTAATTTATTATTAACCACAATTTAGCTATGAATAATGAGGTTCATAGAATCGTTCGGCTACCCCGGTGTGATCCTTGTTTCTAATTAAATTAAATTTATATCTTCTTGCTTAATTTGGGTTATACTTTTTTTAAATATCAATTTCTTACCCCGGTGCCAAAAATAGTGACCGGGATTATAAACTGTAAGCCAAAAGTCTTAAGCAACGCCCACCAGAATTTAGGATTACGCTTACGGCGTTCAATGTCCCAATTGCTGTAATGTTTTAATATACCATGGTGAAAATTTAATAACAATAGACATTTATAAATTAAATAAAACTGACCTTTCCAATTGTTGAACCACTACAAGCGCCTCATCGTCTTTAGAGCATCGGCTTAAGTGTTCGTACGATAGACTCTCTGTTCGCCATCCCTTCCAGAATAGAGGGTAAACCCAACTGAACCCACAATTAGGGTAATTATATTTGTTCACAAATTAAGATATTATAAATTACAAGTATTAAAAATATATGTTTTTAATATTTTTAATAATTAACTTAAATGTAAATATTTTGTTAATAAAATGTAACTTACGTTAAAAATAATTTCTCTAAAAAGTTTATTGAATCCCACCTAGATTTGTTAGTTATTTTACTTTCCACTTCCATTGTTATTAATAGAGTCACCAAGATTAAATTATACTATAACAACTTTTTATGTTAGTTTAAAGCATTAGATAAGTATTATATACCGTGATTTTGTTTTACTAATTAACAATTTATCGTTAATCTATACATTAATTGACTCATCCATTGGTGACTCTAGTTATCCAAGTTATGACTGGATATTAAGTATTTA